GGTGTCTTTACTTGGTTTTGGTATCAAGGTTATGCTGGCTTCATAGAATGAGTTTGGGAGTATTCCATCCTTTTCTATGCTCTGAAATACCTTTAGCAGTAGTGGTGTTAACTCTTCTCTAAAAGTTTGGTAGAATTCTCCAGTGAAACCAGGGCTTTTTTTTTGTTTAGAGTTTTTTAATTACCTTTTCAATCTCTTCCTTCGTTCTAGTTTTATTTAGTTGTTCTACCTCTGTTTGTGATAGTTTAGGTAGGTAGTGAGTTTCTAGAAATTTGTGCATTTCCTCTAGGTTTTCCAGTTTGTCAGAGTACAATTTTTCATAGTATTCTGTTATGATTCTTTTAATGTCTTTTAATTTCAGTTGGATCTGTTGTGATACCGCCCATCTTATTTCTTATATGGGTTATTTGCTTCCTCTCCTGTTTTTCTTTTGTCAGTTTGGCCACTGGTTCATCAATTTGGTTGATCTTTTCAAAGAACCAGCTTTTGGTCTTGTTAACTCTTTCAGTTGTTTTTCTATTCTCTGTTTCATTTAATTCTGCTGTAATTCTTTCCTTTCTTCTGGTGCCCGAGGGTTTTTTTTTTTTTTTGCTGCTCGCTTTCTACGTGTTCAAGTTGTAGGGTTAATGTTTTGATTTTGGCCCTTTCTTTTGGATGTGTGCGTTTATTGGTATAAACTGAACCTCTGAGCACTGCTTTTGGTGTATCCCAAAGGTTCTGGTAGGATGTGTTTTCTTTCTAATTTGAGTCTGTGAATTTCTTTTTCCATCCTTAATTTTTTCTATAACCCAGTAGTTTTTGAGGAGAGTTTTGTTTGGTTTCCCTGTGTTTAATTTTTTTCCTTGCTTTTTCTGTTACTGATTTCTACTTTCATGGCTTTATGGTCATAAAAGTTGCTTTGTAATATTTCGATAGTTTGGGTTTTGTTAAGGCTTGCTTTATGGCCTAATATGTGGTCTATTCTGGAGAATATTCCATGTGCATTGGAAAAGAAAGTATACTTGACTGCTGTTGGGTAAGTGTTCGGTATATGTCTATAAGAGCGAGTTGGTTCATTTTAGCATTTAGATATTCCGTGTCTTTGTTGAGTTTTTTTCTGGATGTTCTCACCTTCACCGAAAATTGTGTGTTAAATTCTCCTACTATTATTGTGGAGCTGTCTATCTCTCTTTTCAATGCTGTTAGAGTTTGTTTTATGTATTTTGGACCCTGTCTTTGGGTGCATAAATACTTATTATAGTTATGTCATCCTGGTGTATTGACCCTTTAATCATTATATAGCGTCCTTCCTTATCCTTTGTGGTGGATTTTACTTTAACGTGTATTTTGTCAGAGGTTAATATTGCCACTCTTGCTCTTTTTGAATGTTGTTTGCTTGGTATATTTTTTTCCATCCTTTGAGTTTTAGTTTGTTTCTTTAAGTCTAAGGTGTGTCTCTTGTAGGCAGCAAATATACGGATCTTGTTTTTTTGTTCAGTCTGCAACTCTCTGTCTCTTTATTGGTGCATTTAGTCCATTTATATTCAGCATAATTATAGATAGGTATGATTTTAGGGCTGTCATTTTGTTGTCTTTTTTTGTGTATTGTTGACAGTTATCTTTGTTCCACTTAATTTTCTGTGATGAGTAGTTTTTCTTTATGTATTTTCTTTTCATCTTTTTCATTGTTGCTGATTTTGTATTTGCTGAGTCTTTATATTTTTCTTGTTTTTTTATTTTGTTGTGTAAGATTGTTGGTTTCCTTTGTGGTTACCTTAATATTTACCCCTATTTTTCTAAGTTTAAACCAGTGTTTTATTTCTTTATATCGACTTGACTTTCTCTGCATAGGAAAAATCTGTGTCTACATTTTTTAGTCCCTCTTTTTTGTTTTAATGTTGTCATCTTTTACATATTGACATCTCTGTTGCCGTATTTTTAGTGTTTTAGCTTTGATTTATTTTTGTGACTTTCTATCGGGGGTAATATCTGCTAGCTCTGTCCTGTGTGGTAGTCTTAGGTTCTTATCTGATGATATTGATTTTCTAACCAGAGGACTCCCTTTAGTATTTGTTGTAATTGTGGTTTGGTTTTTGCAAATTCCCTAAACTTGTATTTATCTGGAAATGCCCTAATTTTGCCGTCATATTTGAGAGACAGTTTTGCTGGATGTATGATTCTTGGCTGATATTTGTTTCCTTCAGGGGTTTATATATGTCATCCCACTGCATCTTGCCTGCATGGTTTCTGCTGAGTAGTCTAAGCTTATTCTTATTGACTTACCTTTGTATAAGACTTTTCGTTTATTCCTAGCCGCTCTTCATATTCTTTCTTTGTTTTTGGTTTTGGCAAGTTTGTTTATAATATGTCTTGATGACTTTCTTTTGGGATCTACCTTCTGTAGGGTTTGATGAGCATCTTGGGTAGATATCTTCTCATCTTTCATGGTATCAGGGAAGTTTTCTGCCAATAAATCTTCAACAGTTCTCTGTATTTTCTGCTATCCCCCCTGTTCTGGTAGTTCAGTTACTCGTAGGTTTTTCCTCATGATAGAATCCCACATAATTCTTAGGGTTTCTTCATTTTTTAAAATCCTTTTATCTGATTTTTCCTCAAAGAAGTTGGGGTCAAGTGCTTAGAAGGGCATCTTTTTAATGATAGATTTTTTTTTTCCCCCCTGCAAATATAGGAAGTTCACAAATGGGTGCTACTATAGTAGATGCTTTGGATACCCTTTATATCATGGGACTTCATGATGAATTCCAAGATGGGAAAAAGTGGATTGAAGACAACCTTGATTTCAGTGTGGTAAGTATATGATGGATAATTAATCTCTTAGAGTGACTATGAAAAGATAACAATGTCTGATCACAGTAGTTTTTGAACACTGTACTATCGGTTTAAGGAAGTCTTGACACAAAGTCCCCTTTCTTATTTTAGGATTATCAGTTATTTAATTTTTATTTAAAATGTATAGTCTTCCTCACTGTCTTTTACATTTATCATTTGAGGCAATGTGGTATATATAAGAAAAAAAATAAAGAACTAGAAATAGCAGCAAACCATAAAATATTTTATAAATAAGAAGGATTTTTTTTTTTTTTTTTCCAGTTGCTTTCTGATGACCCTTTACAATTGGACCTATACCCATCTGTGCCAACTGTACTACTAAATGGACAAGGTGGACAAACCCCACCTTTATCACTAATTGCATGGTAAGGATCACTATGAATCCAATTACCACTTGGAAATGAATCCAGGCTTTACCTTGTCACATCTCCATGATCCTTGTCACCAGCCATATCTGTAGCACTTTCTCTCTTGCCCTAGCACCCAAAGTTAGGTCAGACTTCTTCCCTGACCACCCTGAACCATGTCAGAACATTCCTGGCCAGCTGGTGCCAAGTCATCTAGTAAGAGTTATAGGCGCAGGAATCTGCAGAACTCTCTGTACTTCAGACCAGCTGGCCTCTCTCTTTCTCTCTGTCTGTCTGTCTCTATTCCTCCATCGTTAGGTCGCAAGCTAGAACGATTCTATCGTTCTTCAGCAACTGCCTGTTCAGCCTTTCTCAGACCACCAGCCATGCAGAGCTGGGTCTACACAAGTTCAGAGTCTGTTCTGCTAGCCCCTCCAGACTCATTGCCTCCTGTGAGTTCATTAATTCTCTGTAACAGCTCACAAAATTCACAGAGACTATTAAAGATGGCACAGAGACTATTAAAGATGGCAGAAATACACAGAGTCACTGTACCAAAAAGAATTCGCCGACATTCAGCCATTTCAGGAGGTAGCGTATGCTCAAGAACCAATGGTACTGAAGGAATATGTCCAAGCTGCACTGAAAGTGTTGGCAAAAAACGGCGCTCCTGGAATTGACGGAATACCAACTGAGATGTTTCGACAAATGGATGTAGCACTGGAAGCACTCACTCTTCTATGCCAAGAAACTTGGAAGACAGCTACCTGGCCAACCAACTGGAAGAGGTCCATATTTGTGCCTATTCCAAAGAAGGGTGAGCCAATAGAATGCGGAAATTATTGAGCAATATCATTAACATCACATGCAAGTAAAATTTTGCCGAAGATCATTCAGAAGTGATTGCAGCAGTACATTGACAGAGAACTGCTAGAAATTCAAGCCAGATTCAGAAGAGGACGTGGAACAAGGAATATCGTTGATGGTGTCAGATGGATCTTGGCTGAAAGCAGAGAATACCAGAGAGATGTTTACCTGTGTTTCATTAATTATGCAAAGGCATTCAATTGTGTGGATGATAACAAATTATGGATAACATTGCACAGAATGGGAATTCCAGAACAGTTAATTGTCCTTATGAGGAACCTGTACTTAGACCAAGAGGCTGTCATTCAAACAGGACAAAGGGATACTCTGTGGTTTAAAGTCAGGAAAGGTGTGCGTCAAGGTTGCATCCTTTCACCGTACCTAGTCAATCTGTATGCTAGCAAATAATCTGAGAAGCTGATCTGTATGAAGAAGAACGTGGTCAGGACAGGGGGAAGACTCATTAACAACCTGTGATATGCAGATGACACAGCCTTGCTTGGGAAAGTGAAGAGGACTTGAAACACTTACTGATGAAGATCAAAGACCACAGCCTTCAGTGTGGATTACACGTCAACATAAAGATAACAAAAATCCTCACAACAGCCAATAAGCAACATCATGATAAGCAGAGAAAAGATTGAAGTTGTCAAGGATTTACTTTTACTTGGATCCATAATCAGTGTCCGTGGTAGTAGCAGTCAAGAAATCAGATGACGTTTTGCTTTGGGCAGATCTGCTGCAGGAGACCTCTTTAAAGTATTAAAGCATTAAAAAGTCACTTTAAGGACTTAGGTGAGCCTGACCCAAGCCGTGGTGTTTTCAGTTGCCTCATATACATGTGAAAGCTGGATAACGAATAAGGAAGACGAAGAAGAATTGATGCCCTTGAATTATGATGTTGGCAAAGAATATTGAATATACCATCAACTGCCAGAAGAATGAACAAATTGTCTTAGAAGAAATGCAATCAGAATGCTCATTAGAAGCAAGGATGGGTGAGACTTTGTCTCACGTAGTTTGGATATGTTACCAGGAGGGACCAGTCCCTGGAGAAGGACATCACGCTTGGTAAAGTAAAGGGTCAGTGAAAAAGAGGAAGACCCTCGACAAGATGAATTGACATAGTGGCTGTGACAGTGGTCTCAAAATAACAACGATTGTGAGAATGGCACGTGACTGGGCAGTGTTTCGTTCTGTTGTGCATAGGGTCACTGTGAGTCAGAAGCAACTTGATGGCACCTAACAACAACAGTTACCTATACTTAGAGTTATCTATTTATTATAACCAGAAAGGATACAAGAGACATATCAAGCAAGGTTCAGGAAAGGTCCAGACACATGGTTCTGTTGTCCCCAGGAGCGTGCCATACCATCTCCAAAGCATGGGTGTTCTCACCAGTCCAGGAAGTCCCAAAAGAAAGCTTATAAGGTGTCTTAGTTATCTTGTGCTGGTATAACATAAATACTACAAGTGGATGGCTTTAACAAACAGAAATTTATTTTCTCACAGTTTAGGAGGCTGGAAGTCCAAATTCAGGGTGCCTGCTCTAGAGAAGGCTTTCTGTCTTTTTCGGTTCTGGAGGAAGATCCTTGTCTCTGAGCTTCTGCTCCTGGGTTATCTTCATGTGGCTTGGCATCTTTCTTACCCCATCTCTACTACTTAGCCTGCTTGTTTTAATCTCTTTTATGTATCAAAAGAGAGTGACTCAAAATACACTGTAATACTGTGTCTTTTACCATAACAAACATAACTTAATCCTCATTAACATAACCTAATCCTGCCTCATTAATAACAAACATAACCCATTCACAAATGGGATTATAACCACAGGCAGAATTTAGGATTTACAACACATTTTGGGGGGACACAGTTCATCCATAACATAGGTGCTCCTTATAATAGTCATTGGGACCTCAGTGCATATGCATGATTTAGTGAACATGCATGATTGATTACATCATGCACCCCTTAGTTCCTGAGGTTTGTTGTCAGGTGATGAGTTGGGGTCTCCCAAATCATTTGCACATGTATGAATGTTCCCTGGCTGTTATAGAAAAACAAAGGCACCTTGATTGCTTGGCACCTTGATTCTGGAAAATAAGGACTATTTTCCAGAATCTGGAGACAAAGACCAGACTGAGTTCTTTGTCTCACACACCATCCTTCCAGCATTTTGGCATAGTTCTTAAGTGGGACCCTTTAAATTTGAAGCCTAGCACAGCTAGATTCTAGCTATGTGACTTTGGAAAGTTCCTTTTGCTTTCTAAACCTATCATAAAATTGCTATCCCATTGCAATATTGTTAGGATTAATTTAGGTCATCTGGTATATGTTAAGTGCTCAGTAAATAGTAGCATGTATTCTCCTTATTTTCATAAAATATGTGTTGACTGTTTTTTCATATTCATTGTCTTTCATGATATTTTCACTCACTGTTCCCTCTGACTGTAGTATCTATCCTTCACTCCTTGTCTAGATGCTTTTCTCTCTAAATCTGTAATTATTTCTTTTGTGATGCCTTTCCTGAAACTAAATAGACAAAAACTGATCACTTTATTTTATATTATTCTAGCATTTGGACATATCTCAATTAGAACAGTTTTCATTATTAGTTAAATTTAGATTTGGTGTGAGTGACATTCAAATCAAAACCAAACCTCTTGCGGTTAAGTTAATTCTGACTGCCCAATAGGATTTCCAAGGCTATTAATCTTTTTGGAAGCCCACTGCCACATCTTTCTCCTACGGAATGGCTGGTGGGTTTGAACCGCCAACCTTTTGATTAGCAGGCAAGTGTTTAACTGCTGTGCCACGACTGTCAAGCCAAGGTTCAAGGTCACCAACAAAAGTCATGAATCATACACAGGCAGTGGATGGAGTAACACTTTACTCACATAGAGAAGAGACAGAAAAAAGTCAGCTACAATAGTGGACACTAGTCCCCCAAGGCCAGTGAGTTGCTCTCCGCAGCCAACACAGGGCTGGTCTTCTGCATGCACCCCTCTCATGCTGCAGATGAGGAACCCCATTCCTTTCCCGTGGCGAACAGATACAGAAATGGGGTTGGCCAGGTGCCGTACTGCACCTATGCATGAGCAGAACAGAGAAAGTTACAGTGTACCAAGACAGGGAGAGAGGCTCTCGGAGGAGGAGGAGAAAATGGGAGGGAGAGAAACTCAGTTTCCAGCTTCTATTAGGGAGTGCTCTGGGCCCAAGGCTTGTAATCTGCTGGCCTGGGTGGGAGACCCAAGGGCCTCAGCAGACCATCCTCCCAACAAATATAAAATAGCTTAAACAAGATAGGTGTTTCTTTTTTATGTAAATTAAGTATAAAAATAAGCAGTTCACGGCTTGTTTGGGTACTTCCTTGACTGGCAAGGACCTAGGATCTTTTGTCTTGTTCTGTCAACTTCAAGATGTAGCTTTCACCTCATGTCCAAGATGGTTCCTCAAGATCCAAGTATTTTATCCAGCTTCTAATTGGCAGAAAAAAAGAAGGGACAGAGGAAGATATGCCACTGATTTTTGAAAATACTTCCTGGAAGTTGCCCACCCCATTTTTGCTTGTATACTTTTGGGTAGACCTTACTCATGTGGCCCCACCTAACTCTAAAGGGAGGCTGAGAAATGTAATATTTTTGTTTATCTGTGTGATTGTAATTTTTGTATCTTGTCCATTTCACCCATGCTATCTAATTTGTTGGCATACAATTCTTCATAATATTCTCTTATGACCCTTT